GACATTAAGTCTAGTTGTGTCTGACTCTGAGGAGTGGTGCTCATCTCCATTTCTAAGTTGAATAGCTGACATTGTCTGTAGATGTCTCCAAGGTCATGTGGCCAGCATGACTGCATGGAATGCCATTGCCTTCCCGCCAAGGAGGTATCTATTGATCTACTCACATTTGCATGTTTTCAAACTGCTAGGTTGGCAGGAGCTGGGGCTAACAGTGGGAGCTCACCCCACTCCATGGATTCGAACCGCCAACCTTTCGGTCAGCAAGTTCAGCAGCTCAGCAGTTTAACCCACTGTGCCACCACGGGGCCCATCCAGTTTATAGATGTGCTGTAATGAGAATTTGAAAGTAGCAACAAATGTTGAAGCCTGATCCTGACTGCTAGTGAGAGCATCACATAGTGCAAACTACTACTCAATTTACTTTCAAAAACAGATCTGCTTTTAGATCTTACAAAAATCTCACCAGTTTCTGGTGGCTCTTCCACACAGGGTGTTTAACTGGTAGTGAGATAAAGTACTGCGATACATTTGATGTAAGCACATTTATACATCAGTGGAAATACTTCTTTTCAAAGAGTTCTCTGCTCTCTTTTGGACCCTGATCAGTCTTTTTTCCCCTGGTCCTGTAAACATGTTCTCTTAAAACCTACTCTTTGACTTTTCTTAGTAAAATTGCCCTGAAAGAGTTGATTTTATTGATTCAAATAATTCAACAAACTGGGCTAAGGCCTTAATGCACTGGTTCTCAACTTGTGGGTCCCCAGGCGTTTTGACCCACAACTCCCAGAAATCCCAGCCAGTTTGGGAGGTGAAGGCCAAAACATCTGGGGACTCACAGGTTGAGAACTACTGCCTAAATACCGTGCGAGGCAGTACCATTCTAATGATGGTAGATATTATATATAGGTGATACTGTGCAAGATCAGTGAATATCAGCTTTTGATCCTTGAGCTACTTTGGAATTCAAAACCACCAGAAACCCAGCCTTCATAACCAATTGGTCAGGGATTATAAGAAATGAAGGCCAAAATATCTGCAGGGCAATAGGTTGAGAACCAGTGTTGCATGGACTAATGATTTCGTTCAGCACATTTTAGGAGAATATAAAAATTCAGTCACTGTGTGTTATTATTAAGCTATTTCTACCCCCACACCTTAAATCTTGTAATGGCCCTTGTGGTCTCTTCTACCATTTTGCATCAGGAGATCCGAGGATGGTTTATAATTCAGATTAAGATAACTTTAACAAATCAAAAGTAGTAAGAAAACGTATATAAGAAAGCTAAACACTTTCTAAACAATGCAATGACTTAAATTTGTAAACATTTATGAAACTATAAATAACTATCTTGGGTTGAATGAATTTGTGTCAATTTGTTTTTCTGTGTCAGGACCAACCTGAGAAACTGCAAGTCGATTCTAGTGTGAGAGAATTGGCCATATGCAAGGATGTTGCCCAGGAGATGCCTGGATGCTTTGATGTTTTCCCATCATTATGGGAAGCTTCTTTCTAGTCCCCACATGGGGAGCTGGAGCTGGCAGAGGGAGCTCATCCACACTCTCCCCAGATTCAAACCTCCAACTTGTCAGTCTTCAGTCCTGCTGGCTCAAGGTTTTAACCCATTGCGCCACCAGAAGGTTGAATGAACTAAATGGAAATAATTCCACAGTAGGGGGCCCACAGATGAAAAGGCCCTCTCCCATGTCTCAACCCAGGGAACATTTTGAAATGGGAGTTATTATCTGTAATTGACATAAAATTCCATGTTAGGAGCCAGGAAATTGAAAGAATTCCCTGTGATAGGTAAGTATATAAAATAAATGTGTGTATGTCTACAAGTGAAGCTTTCTCCAAGAGTTTGGAAGCACGAATAAATATTTTGATGTACCTATGATACTGCTCTATTTGTTATGCCATGTGAGGGAAGCTGAGTTGTTATTTCCTAGAGTACTAAATTCCACACTTTGACAAGTCTGAATTCTTGAAACACATTTTGTTTGAATTAGGAGCAGTCCCATTCCAAGAGTGAGGTATTCAACCTAACTGAAGACAAATATTTGAATGCCAGCAGCTTGAAGATGAGACAGTTATAACTGTGGTTAAGGTTAGACTAATTTTATGTCAAGAGCAGTGAGTGGTGGTAGTGAGAATGTCAGTTAGCATATCAAGAAATGCAATGATACTTTTCATTACAAAACATATGTTTTGCTAGTTAAATATTTCAACAAGATGCTGGCACTGAATCACTAATCCTAATTTAAACCTTGATTTCATCCATATAGTTATTTTGGAATCATTTTTAAGACTTCTGATTCTGCCAGCTGCTTAACCGTGAAATATCAAATAAATCTGAAAAATCTTGTCTAGATAATGTCATAGAAATGTGCATATTTTGGCAAGCTGACTAATATTTTCACAAATTCAGGCTTTCAAAACAAAAGAAATTTGTTTTTGCTTTCTATCATACACAAATTTAACATTTGCACAGAACTTATATTTTAGTCCAACTGATAAAATCAGAAGTTTCGAATCAAATGAACTGAGAACTGAAATTTAGCCAGCATTTGCTGCAATTCTGCATTTAATCCTGGCACACATTTATTCGAATTAATTACATGTTAATATAATGACTCAAATCTTCTTGGTGACAGACATAGTCTTTAGGCAGAGTGGGTGAAGGTGGTGGTTAATGCCTTCTTAGAGGAAGGCAAGATTCTAGCCTGCTTAAGAGAAGCTGTACTAAAACCGCTGTTGAAAAAATCCATCACTGGATCCCACTCAACCGAACAACTTTCAGCCAGTTTCCAATTTCCCCTTTTTGGACAAAGTTAAGGAATGTGTGGTGGTCTTGCAATACCAGATGTTCTTGGAGGAAACTAATTATCTGGATCTGGCACAGTCTGGTTTTAGGCAGGGACATGGAACGGAAACAGCCTTGGTCGCCTTAATGGGTGATTTCTGTAGGGAATTTGACAGGGGAGTGTGTCCCTGTTGGTTCTCCTGGACCTCTCAGTGGGTTTCAATACTGTTGACAGTAACCTTCTGGGATGCCTTGTGGGAATGGGGCTTGGAAGTACTGTTTTTCAGTGACTCCAATCCTTCCTGGAGGGTCGTTCTCAGAAGGCGTTGTTGGGGAACACCTGCTTGGCCCCATAGCCATTGCTCTGTGGGTCCTGCAGGGCTCAATATTGTCCCCCATGTTGTTTAACATCTACATGGAGCCACTCTATCACTCCTTAACATCTGCTACTAAGGAGCCTGTTCAGGTCCTGAACCAGTGCTTGGCAGATGTGACAATCTGGATAAGTGCGAAAAAATGGAAATTGAAGACAGATGTACTCCTGGTCAGTCACAAGGCCGAACAGGGTATAGGGTTACATCCTGTGTTGGATGGTGTTACACTCCCCCTTGAGTACACAGGTTCACAGCTTGGGACACATTGCTGAGCCTGGAACCCCAGGTTTTAATGGTCAGGGGAGCTTTTGCACAATTAAAACTTTTGTGCCAGTTGCGCCTGTACCTTGGGAAATGAGATTGGACATACTGGTCCATGCTCTGGTTACATTGAGAATACGTGGGGTTGCCTTTGAAGACTTTTCAGAAGCTTCAAATGGTGCAACAGGCGGCAGCTCACCTGTTACGTCAGCTCCACTGGCTGCCAGTCTGCTTCCGAGCACAATTTAAAAGTACTGACTATAGCCTATAAAGCCCTAAACAGTTCCAGCCCAGCTTGCTCATCCGAATGTATCTCCCTCTATGACCCACCTCGGAGGTTAAGATCATTGGGGTAGGCCCTTCTCTTGGTGGGGAAAAGAGAAAGGGCCTTCTCAGTGGTGGCCCCTTCCCAGTGAAATTAGATGTGCCCCATCCCTTTTGACCTTCAAGAAAAACTGAAAACATGGCTCTGGGATCAAGCTTTTGGCCAGTAACGGCAGTAGTGCAATATGGGACTGCAAATTAGTATAATGATGACTCGGACTAGCCCTGGAATACGATTTGGATTACATGATTTTAATTAATGTTTTAATCCTGTTTTTCATGGGTTTAGTTTTAATGTTTTGGTTTATTTACCGATGTTTTAATATATGGCATTGAATTGTTGCCTTTGTAAGGCCGTCCTGAGTCCCCTTCGGGGTTGAGAAGGGTGGGATATAAATGTGGTAAATAAAATAAATAAATAAAATAGGAGGCTGTGGATGAAGATATGTTAAATAAACTGAAAGTAATTCTCTGATTTTATTTAAAGATGGACATTTCAACTGAAGGTTGATACAGCTTCTCATCAGTGGATCAAAGGAAAATCATGGGTGAAGATCCTTCACATATAAGTAAGATGTGAAATCAGAGGGAAATCCTTATTCAGCTGTTCACATTTTATTTTCCCCCACCTCCACCAGTGATCACATTTGGGCATATTGAATATTCATGCCAAGTTTGGTCGAGATCTATCTTTGTTTGAGTCCACAGTGCTAACTGGATGTAGGTGAACTACAACTCAAAAACTCAAGGTTCAGTGCTCACCAAACCCTTCCAGTATTTTCTGTTGATCATGGGAGTTCTGTGTGTCAAGTTTGGTTCTATTCCATCCTTGGTGGAGTTCATAATGCTCTTTGATTATAGGTTAACTATAAATCCCAGCAACTACAACTCCCAAATGAATAAAATCAACACCCCCACTCCACCAGTAATCAAATTTGGGTGTATTGGGTATTTGTGCCAAATTTAGTCCAGTGAATGAAAATACATTCTGCATATCAGATATTTACATTACAATTCATAACAGTAGCAAAATTACAGTTATGAAGTGGCAACAAAAATTATGTTATGGTTGGGGGTTACCACAACATGGGGAACTGTATTAAGGGGTCGTGGCATTAGGACGGTTGAGAACCACTGAGTTAGATGAAGTCTCCTAAATTTGAGAGGAGGAAACTGTTACTCTAAATCAATCTAAAGAAAATGGATCTCGATTTTGACAAAGAAAAGGCAAACCAGCAACTGAAAGAAAACATTTATTGAATCAAAAGTCAATACTCTCCTTTTAATATCTACAAGACAACATTGAACTTACATCATTTAAGAATGAACATAATGTACAAAAAATGTATGTTTGTTATAAAAATATGTCTCTCTTTTCTGGCGACTGAGCTGAGGGTTATTTTGTTTTGTTTGGGGTGGGAGTTCTCCAATACAATTCCTAAATTTGTTTTGTGTGTGTGTGTGTGTATGTCAAAAATAGTACCAAATCCTAGAGGATTCTGAAGAGCCTTTGAAGAAAAACATTTGAAATCTTGACCATGATCGTTTTTGCAAGGATGTCCATATATCTGGAGCAAACAATGGGAGATAGTTTCAGTCAGTGAAAATATCTGACTGGCCTACCTGAACCAGTATTTACCCAACAACCTTCTCACTCTCTGTTTCCAGACCCTCAGTGAGCATCAGGGAAGTCTTTTGAACTCAGGCCACAGATACAGGACAACAGTTGGCATATATATGCTCAGCTATTGCTTATTCTCTTATCAGAGATCTTGGATAAGGATTTCACTCTGTTATTGTTTGAAGAATGCTGGCCAAGGCTTTGGGTTGTTTGTTTTTAAAAGGTGTCCATGTGATCGATCCTTCATGTTGATATTGCCCCCTTACATATGAATGGGAGTGGAGAAATACCAACAGGGATTAACTACAAAGCAATGCTGCTGTGTAATTATTTTGTAGGCCAAAATGTGGTTTCTGCATGATCCCCATTGAAATTATTTGAATATCTGCAGCCCAAATCTCTCTTTCTCTGTGTGTGTATGTGCTTGCCACTTAGGTAAACCACTATGTCAAATTAGGCTCAGTTGTCCCATTTGCCAGTTAAGATGTTAAGAATTGTGCATGAGGAGGATTCTAAGTATGTTTTAATAAAAATCTTTTGCTAGTGTTCAATCAACTGACTTCAGTTTCTTATGACCAAAGGGACATGAGGATGGACAAGACAAAAAGTAAAAGGGAAAAAAAAGAAGGGAAAAGGATCACTTACAGAAATATTTCCAAAACAGTGCAATATTAAAACACAATTTTCACACCTTGTGAAAGAGGAACATGCTTTGGAACCTGAGCAAACGGCTTATTTACCACTATAGCAAAAAGCCACCCTGTATGTTCTTTTTGCTGGCATCAGTTCCTGCCAGGTTGCTATGTTGCTCCTAGCAACTTACATGACCCCTAAATATTTAGTACGAGGAAACTGCCAACTACTTGAGAGGTCAACTAAATTCCAGCTATAATACTGCAGGCAGTTCAACATGCTGCTACTGGAAATACCAGAATGGCCTAAAATTAAGTTTTCTTTTTTAAAGAAGGAGGGGAGGGAGGAAACACGAGCTTGGAAGTAATTTTTTTCAAATTAATTTGTTACCCCTATTTTACAAAAAAAAAAATAACAATTGTATCAATTGTTATCACAATGGCACCAATGAGTTCTGCTGTGTTTAATGGTCTGTGTTAGTTTAATTTGCTATTGCTGCAAGGTAATTTAGGGGTTTAATTTTTTAAAAAAATATTAAAAGGACCTTATTCTATCAAATAATACACAATAATAATGCCAAAGTTCTTCACTCATACAATTTAATGCCTACAAATTAATTTTCATTGTAATGGCAACTTTAACGCCTTAGCACCAATGCTAAAATTTCCAAGCTCCAGGGAGACGGGGATGTCGAAGAAATAATAGGGGAAAGCAGTCAACGTAACAATGCCTCTTGAACCAGACAAAAGCGCCACCACAACATTTAGCTTGTACGTTACTACACGGGCTTACAATCTTGAGGTCAGCTTTTTCAAAATAAATATACTGAACATTTACAACAAAATGCCTTATGAATGCAAGCTTCCTCTTTATTATCTCAAGACCAGTTGGATTAAAACCCTAAGACAATGTATTTTCCAAAGCAGCTAAAAGTTACAAGTCCTCCCCCACCCACCTGTAAGAGATTGGCATGGTTGGGTGCTACTGCAAAACTTTGTAAGAAGCAATAGTATCATCAGTCTGCAAGAACAAGCATTAAAAAAACCCTAAAATAATTTTTGGCACCCAACAGGCCACCATACCAAGCAAATTCACATAGCATGCGCTCATATACTTTGCTGATTTCTGACTGTGTGAAATGATCATTGTGCTTGCAGGTCCCAGACCTTTAAAAATATCTATATTAACAACAACAGGTTCAACATATTATTAGGAACTTGCTTCCAATTACAGAAAAAGAAATGAAGACTATAAAAAAATTCCAAACAGATGAGAACACCCCCAAAAAGGGCCTTGCAGAGGAAATACAAAACTCAAATCAACCCAACACTGAACTACATGTTGAGAATTTAGTTTGCTTAACGTGTTTTTTTTTTTAAAAATGCTGACAGTGAATGGGGAAAAGCCCCATCCAAAAAAACCCCAACTTAACCAATACTATAATCCACAGATGTTTTGGTAGCAGTAAGATGTAGGATTGCCACTGGAAAGGCACAACAAGACCAGTCTGATAAAATATCATCCTCAAAAGCAGAATGGGAATGTTTCAATGGTGTAATCACAAGGGGTGGATGATGAGCCATCAACTTCTCTCGTCATGAGCACAGGAAGCAGTCACCAAGGCATAAAGAGAGGGACACAGGAAAGAAGGGACAGAAATTCACAAGAGCCTGGAAAGAACAAAGCACTGCGTCAGTAAAACGTGCAAGACAACATTCACAGGATATGTGTAGAAATATAAAAAAGGTAAAGGTTTTCCCTGACATTAAGTCCAGTCATATCCGATTCTGGGGGTTGGTGCTCATCTCCATTTCTAAGCCAAAGAGCCAGCATTGTCTGTAGACACCTCCAAGGTCATATGGTCGGCATGACTGCACGGAGCACCGTTACCTTCCTGCCAGAGCAGTACCTATTGATCTACTCACATTTGCATATTTTTGAACTGATAGGTTGGTATAAGCTGGGGCTAACAGTGGGAGCTCACCCCACTCCCCAGATTAGAACCACTGCCTTTTGGTCAGCAAGTTCAGCAGCTCAGTGGCTTAACCGACTGCGCTACTGGGGGTTCAGATGTACCAATTATGAGGGAAAGAAATCTAGCTGTCACTGGTTAGGCTTGAGTTCTCCTTAACAGTGAACTTGTACGAAAACATGGCATGTTTTGAGTACAGCATGGAAACATTTCTCTTTTGGATCACAATATCCATGCTGGCTGGGGGATTCCAGAGGTGGTAGTCCAGAAATAACTGTTTACATAGTATTTTCCCCATCAAGCCAATTCATTGGGAGTATGTCCTTCTGGAATTTGTTGGATTGCAAATCCCATCAGATCCAGCAAGTGAGAGATGTGGGAACTGCAGTTTTACAGCCTCTGGAGAGATACACATTCCTCCCTCCTGTAGTGATGTTTAGTGGGGAAAAGAACTGTATAACATAACACCATTTTAAACAGTCCTGTATTAAAATTACATTCTTTTATCTGAAACAACAAATGCATTCATATACAATTACACAATTCTTTGAAGTTTTACTGTAATTTTTTTTCCTACCCCCATATCTGCATTCAAGTCTTAATGATTTTGGCACTGGGAAAAAAATTAAGTGCAAATATTTCCTGCTAAGATGAGAACACTGAGTGCCTAAAGCTAACTTTTGACGGATAAGTGTGTGAAATCAGTTTAACTAAATCTTTCTAAATAACTGGAAAGACTTTCTGTTTTTTATTCCCTTTCTTTGCTTAATACAGCACATACATTTTCACACACATCTTTCTTCTTTTTCACTTTTATACTGGCAGGTTGCTTTGGGATAACAAATCTAAACAAGTCTGCTATTTAGAGATCTATTTCAATTGAACATTGCAGTTGACAGTCCTGTTGCCTTTGTATCCCAGCCAGGCAGAAATAGTAGGCAAGATTATCTACAAACTTTATAATACTCACTGGAAATGCATGCCACAGTTATCCTGCTTTTGTATCTACGAGCTGCATTTGAACATTTGCAGACATGCCTCCTCCGTAGCCTCCTTTGGACTGCATTTGGTTCTGAATTGAACTCACCTAGAAAAAAAAGTAATGTAGAAAAGACATGTATATGGTAAGGTATGAACTGGTTTATTAAGTCAATGCAAGATCATTGGTAAATTATTATTTTCTTAGAGATGGCCAAACCACTGTTCAAAAAGGGCACATCAGATATGCTTTCATTCTCTCATTCAAGTTATCTGTCAGATCAGTCTTTTCACTGCACAGACTTGGCGTCATTTTCAAAAGACTGTTAAAATCTGTTATGGTTTCTCTCCTCCAAGGGTTGATTCATGTATGTGCATCTACATAGTGCTTGGGAGGTGTGATTTGGTTAACACCTTCAAGGACACAATGTTGGCCCTTTTGCAAAAAAAAAAAAACAAGAACAAATGGCAATATTGTCAGTTTTTTAATGTAGCCACTTGTTACTTCAAAATGGTTGCTTGGGGAAGTCATTTGGGACTTCCCCAGGCACTTTTAATAGAATCAAAGAATTGGAAGAGGCCATAAGGGCAATCTAGTCCATTCAGGAATATACAACTACAGGAAGTATATGCAGAAGTACACATCTACAAGCAATAGACAAAACACATCATTTGATATCCAAGTCGGGTCACTGTCATGGAAGCCCTCCCTACACATAAGGCAAACAGAGTTCCCTCTTTCAGGAAATTTGCCTGCATAGATCTCTAGATGTGTAAGCATTTCTCTGAAATGCCAATTTCTATCATGAGGCTCAGAGACAGATATTTGAGGAATTGCACCTCTGTTTATAAACCTACACAGCCACTGTGATCTTTGGAGGGGGGCCTCCTCTCAGTCCCACCCTCGTTCCAAGTGCAGCTGGTGGGGATGAGAGGGCCTTCTCCGTGGTCGCTCTGTCTCTCTGGAATCCCGTCCCTAAGGAAGTTAGAACCGCCCCTTCACTTCTCTCCTTTGAAAAGCTATTAAAAACATACCTGTGTACATTAGCTTATGGACAGGAAGCTGAGTAATATTTCATGGCCCCTATCTGACTGATCACCTTGCTAGTATCCATCTATCTGTAGTGTCACTTGTCATTTTATATTCTTAGATTTCATGCTCCTATTTTAAACAGAATTTTAACTGCTCAATGCATTCAATGCGGCCATAGTCTATTTGCTTGTCGAGGATTGTGTTTATCTGTTTTTAATTGTATTTAAATGTTAATTTAAAGATGTTATTTTATACAGTATGGGACATTGAATGTCTGCTTTGTTTTGGAAGCCATCCTGAGATTCCTCAGGGAGAGAGTGTGGGTTAGAAATAAAGTTGTTGTTGTTGTTGTTGTTGTTGTTGTTGATGATGTGTTTCATTTTAAGGATACAACCGTCCAGTGTGACCTTGTTATCACATGAACAGCCATTACACTGGAAAATGGGTATTGTGTTTCCTTTACCATTTTTGTGTACAAAATAGATTTTTTGATGCTGATCACATAAATAACTTCAAAATTATCACATCATATAAGATGCTATAAGTTTTTTGAGGAAAAAAAGCAATTTTGTTTTAGTTATTGTTCAATAGTAACTTGCATGATTTTTAGATAGCTCATATCTTTAACAGCCATAAACAACATTATGTAACATGTAACAGAGACTCAGACTGCTAAAATACCACAAGAATAAATTTCTGATTATGTAGAGACCTGTCCAACAGGTTGAAAGTCTGCTTCAAATTAGGGGCATTTCATTTCTAAAGTGTTACTAAAGTGTTGTTAATGAATTTTTGTTACTATAATGAGAGTAACGGCACTTTGTTACTTTTTCCTATAGTAATTGTGCATGTAGGGAAACTTCAGGGGTTAAACTTGCCACAAGGTTAGAGCCCATTTACCACTGTTAGCACATCAAGTTTCAGAATGTTTCACTTATCCACAGAAGTTTGGAGAATTTTCAAAGTATTTCTAAACAACAACAAAAAACTACAAGAGCTATCTCCTTGAATTTTCTAGAAAATGACACAAAATAACAGGGGATCATTTCCCTCCCCCCCCCTTTCATAAATATACATACATCTGATTTTAGATAAATGTTTAAAGTTTTGTTTAAAACTTTTTTTAAATCCACAACAGCTATCTCATATTAACCAATACAATTTCAATTTAAGGATTTCTTCCCAGCCCAGCACAGAGATTTCCTTAATAGAAGTATCAGTCAGTCCTCCTCTTTGCAGATTCAGCAATTTATTGGAACTATGGCTGGCTGCTGCTATGGGGGGACAAATCTCTCGCCTATCCTGACTGGGGCTTTCTGATGCTGAGCAGAATTCTGGGAAATGTAGTTTAAGGCAGGGCAGGCATGTAGCCGGGGGGGGGGGGGCTCGGGGGGCTTCAGCCCCCCCCCGAAATTCTCATGGTGGTTCGCGAAAAGGCCTTACTGGTGCATTATTTAAACTGTTATGTTTATTAATATCATGATTTGATCACCATTCTCAATATATCCCATATGTATGGGGGTATTGGGGTAATGATACAAAAGGTTTGCTAGGCTAGACCCTCTTTCACTCAGACTCAGCCCCCCCCGAAACTCAGCCCCCCCGAAACCCCCCCTGAAAATTTTTTAGCCCCCTCCGAAACGAAATCCTGGCTACGGGCCTAGGGCAGGGTCTTTTGAATTCTCTGGACTTCTCAAACTACACTTCCCAGAATTCTATGCTTTCTCAGTCTCTTTTCCAGCGAAGCCTCTCCTAATGGTGAGAGGTTATTAATTTAAAGACGAATGGCAACCTTTTTGGCCTTGCTTTGCTTCCTTGTGCTGAAAACGAAACTGACTTTGGGAGGCTTCCAAGATTTACAAAATATAAACAAAAAAATTGAGTACTTTCGATTCTTAGGTTTTTGGCACGGGCCACGTCTGCGCATTGGATATTGCATTGTAAGTACAAATTTATCAAATTTGATGCAATTTATGATGACTAGTGATGAAATTGACACCCCTAACATATAGCAATGCTTAGGATGCATTGTCTTTTTCTGGAAAACCATACGTGATACAGGCATAATACATAGATAGTTGTTTTCAGTGTGCTACTTGGTTCACCCAAAATTGTGGAGGAAACAAAACATTCCCCAAATTTTGCTGGCCAGTGTTACAGATACATTGCAAGAATGGACACTTATTTGATTACTTATGGTTACAGAGCCAAGTATCTCCACTGAAATACAGTTTTGGCTTATGTCAGGGGGTATGAATGGTTTTGTCCATAGCAGCCATTTACTCAGTTGATGCTGCAACTAATATGTGTGCATGTGTGATCTCAAACTATAAAAATTAAATCAAAATACTGGTAGTGTTTTTTAAAAAAGAAATGCCGTGCACATGTAACATTGTACATATCTGAGAAATAACTATACAATAAGGTTGACCTATGCATAAGCATGTGAATGAACTAGCTTTGTAAACTGACAGTGGAGCCTCTGACTTCTGAAAGATAAATACAGCAATGCATAATCTGGTGCAAAAGATTTGTTTGTTCTTTAACTGTGCCAACTTCAATTTCTTTCAACAGGGGATTGATTTAAGTGGAATGTTGATAAATGAAATAAATACTTCTTGGATCAAGTAAATAAAGGAGACAACTTCTATCCATAAGTCTAGGACATTTCTCACTGGGATTTGCAAATCATGAATCAAAACAGTCACTGCTGTTAAGGACAACAAACTGTAATATTAAACAAGCCTCTGTGTGGAATAAAGTGTCAAGAAAGGCAGAACATGAAGGTGCTGTAACATGCACACAGATGAATTTCTTTTGTACACACAGACTATGTATTCCTGGGAAAAAAGAGATCCCAATCCATCACAGCAATGGATAGGGCTTCCTCTATCCCTTTAAAGTCATTTCAACATGGTGCTGTTGTGAAAGGAAAAAAAGGACGGAGAACTTGAGCCACCATATTTTTGTGTGGCGAAGAAATGTGTAGCATTATCCTATTTAAGCATCACTTAGGAAGCATCAGCTCTGCTCTAAGACTTAACTACTCTACATAGGCTTGGATATAATTGTGTCCAAATTAAAATGTGTAATTTCAGCATTCTTGTTTCCAGCAACCTATGTTATCTCCACTCCAGCAAAGGATCACCACCTTGTTGTGGCGCTGGAGTTTGAGCACCTCAATGATGTCATGAGCGAAACCAAGAAGGGCCACCCAAGACGGGACGGTCGTGGCAGAGAGGTCAGACCAAGCGTGATCCCTGGGGAAGGCAATGGCAAACCACCCCAGTATCCTTGCCAAGAAAACTAAATGGACCAGTACAACCAGAGATATGTCGGTATGCCATTGGAAGATGGGACTCCCAGGTCGGAAGATGGCCAAAATGCTACTGGGGAGGAGCAGAGGATAAGTTCAACTAGCCCCAGATGTGATGATGCAGCTAGCTCAAAGCCGAAAGGAAGGCTAGCGGCTGACGGTACTGGAGGTGAACGACGAATCCGATGCTCTAAAGATCAACACACCATAGGAACCTGGAATGTAAGATCTATGAGCCAGGGCAAATTGGATGTTGTTATTGGTGAGATGTCAAGACTAAAGATAGACATTCTGGGGGTCAGCGAACTGAAATGGACTGGAATGGGCCACTTCACATCAGATGACCACCAGATCTACTACTGCGGACAAGAGGAACATCGAAGAAATGGAGTAGCCTTCATAATAAATAAGAAATTCGCTAAAGCGGTGCTTGGATACAACCCAAAAAATGACAGAATGATCTCAATTCGAGTGCAAGGAAAGCCTTTCAACATTACAGTGATCCAAATATACGCCCCAACCACAGCTGCTGAAGAAGCAGAAGTAGATCAGTGCTATGAGGATCTGCAGGACCTACTGGATAATACACCAAAAAGAGACATTATTTTCATTACAGGAGACTGGAATGCCAAGGTGGGAAGTCAAATGACAACTGGCATCACAGGCAAGCATGGTCTGGGAGAACAAAATGAAGCGGGACGCAGGCTGATAGAATTTTGCCAGGAAAACTCGCTGTGTATAACGAATACTCTCTTCCAACAACCTAAAAGACGGCTTTACACATGGACCTCACCAGACGGTCAACACCGAAATCAGATTAACTACATCCTTTGCAGCCAAAGGTGGCGGACATCCATCCAGTCGGTGAAAACAAGACCTGGGGCTGACTGTAGCTCAGATCACGAACTTCTTATTGCCAAATTTAGAATAAAACTAAAGAGATCAGGGAAAATACACAGACCAGTTAGATATGATCTCACTAACATTCCTAGCGAATATACAGTGGAAGTGAAGAACAGATTTGAAGGACTAGATTTAGTAAACAGAGTCCCAGAAGAACTATGGACCGAAGTCCGAGACATTGTTCAGGAGGCGGCAACAAAGTACGTCCCAAAGAAAAAGGACAGAAATCCGCGACATTGTTCAGGAGGCACGGCAACAAAGTACGTCCCAAAAAAAAGAAAACCAAGAAGGCAAAAGGGTTGTCTGCTGAGACACTGGAAGTAGCCCAAGAAAGGAGGAAAGCAAAAGGAAACAGGGATAAGGAGAGATATGCCCAGTTAAATGCGCAATTCCAGAGGTTAGCCAGAAGAGATAAGGAACTATTTTTAAATAAGCAATGCATGGAAGTGGAAGAAGACAACAGAATAGGAAGGACAAGAGACCTCTTCCAGAAAATTAGAAACATGGGAGGTAAATTTCAGGCAAAAATTGGTATGATAAGAAACAAAGATGGCAGGGACCTAACAGAAGCTGAAGAGATCAAGAGAAGGTGGCGAGACTATACAGAAGATCTGTATAGGAAGGATAATAATATTGAGGATAGTTATGACGGTGTGGTGAATGAATTAGAACCAGACATCCTGAGGAGTGAGGTTGAATGGGCCTTAAGAAGCATTGCTAACAACAAGGCAGCAGGAGACGACGGGATCCCAGCTGAACTGTTCAAAATCTTAAAAGAGGATGCTGCCAAGGTGATGCATGCCATATGCCAGCAAATATGGAAAACACAAGAATGGCCATCAGACTGGAAAAAATCAACTTATATCCCCATACCAAAAAAGGGAAATGCGAAAGACTGCTCAAACTTCCGTACAGTGGCCCTTATTTCTCATGCCAGTAAGGTAATGCTCAAGATCCTGCAAGGAAGACTCCAGCAATACATGGAGCGAGAGTTGCCAGATGTTCAAGCTGGGTTTAGAAAAGGCAGAGGAACGAGAGACCAGATTGCCAATATCCGCTGGATAATGGAGAAAGGCAGGGAGTTTCAGGAAAACATCTACTTCTGCTTCATTGACTATTCTAAAGCCTTTGACTGTGTGGATCATAATAAATTGTGGCAAGTTCTTGGTGGGATGGGCATACCAAGCCACCTTGTCTCTCTCCTGAGGAATCTGTACAAGGACCAAGTAGCAACAGTAAGAACTGACCACGGAACAACAGACTGGTTCAAGATTGGGAAAGACGTACGGCAAGGCTGCATACTCTCACCCAACCTTTTTAACTTGTATGCAGAACACATCATGTGAGGATGTGCAGGGCTGGATGAATGCAAAGCTGGGGTGAAAATTGCTGGAAGAAACATTAACAACCTCAGATATGCAGATGACACCACTCTGATGGCCGAAAGCGAGGAGGAGCTGAGGAGCCTTCTAATCAAGGTGAAAGAAGAAAGCGCAAAAGCTGGGTTGCAGCTAAACATAAAAAAAAACAAGATTATGGCAACAAGAATGATTGACAACTGGAAAATAGAGGGGAAAAATGTGGAGGCCGTGACAGACTTTGTATTTCTAGGTGCAAAGATTACTGCAGATGCAGACTGTGGCCAGGAAATCAGAAGACGCTTCCTTCTTGGGAGGAGAGCAATGTCCAGTCTCGATAAAATAGTGAAGAGTAGAGACATCACACTGACAACAAAGATCCGCCTAGTCAAAGCCATGGTATTCCCTGTAGTAACCTACGGATGTGAGAGCTGGACCATAGGGAAGGCTGAGCGAAGGAAGATAGATGCTTTTGAGCTGTGGTGTTGGAGGAAAGTTCTGAGAGTGCCTTGGACTGCGAGAAGATCCAACCAGTCCATCCTCCAGGAAATAAAGCCCGGCTGCTCACTGGAGGGAAGGATACTAGAGACAAAGTTGAAGTACTTTGGCCACATCATGAGGAGACAGGAAAGCCTAGAGAAGACAATTATGCTGAGGAAAGTGGAAGGCAAAAGGAAGAGGGGCCGACCAAGGGCAAGATGGATGGATGGCATCCTTGAAGTGACTGGACTGACCTTGAAGGAGCTGGGGGTGGTGACGGCCGACAGGGAGCTCTGGCGTGGGTTGGTCCATGAGGTCACAAAGAGTCGGAGACGACTGAACGAACGAACAACAACAACATGTTATCTCCAAAGTCCCTTTGGGCTTTTTTTTAGTTATGCAGAAATAATGTTTAAAGGTCATAACATCAAATAGGAAGCAAAAATCCAATTTCTCCTTTCCAAAGTACATTTTATGTGCGAGCATGTGTGCTTTCTGTAATTCTTGTTCTTTGGATGTTACAGCACCTTCATGTTCTGCCTTTCTTGAGGCTTTATTCCACACAGAGGCTTGCTTATATAAATCTTTCTGAGCTACACTGTCAGAGATTGTTAGCAAGATAGAAACAATATTTCTGATGCATATGTGTGAGCATACATGTGTTTGTGTTTTAAAAATAGACAATTTGGCATTACACAACCACCATTAAATATGACTGTGCAAAATTCAGGTTTGCACATGCCTCCATCCTTTTTGGTGTGGCCACAAGAACTGGACAACACATTTTCCAGCTTCCTTTAATCACAGTTTATTGTACTGAATGAATGTTGACCACAGTTTCTTACAAGTCAGCATTATAGTTCATAGTTTAATGCTAGTTTTTAACCTCTCCTAACATACTATATACTCATGTATACACCAACTTCATGTATAAGTCACAGACAAGTTTAGGGGCCAAAATTATGTTCTTCAGGGAGGGGAAAGAGCATGCCACCTCTCACTTTTTGCCATTCTGCTCAGAGATGGTTCCTTTACTGATATGATTAAGGTATTCACTTTGACACATAGATAAGGTGACCCAGTTTTTGGGAATTGGTTTTTCTAGACTTATAAATGAGTATATACACTAGTTAAAACTAGTGGGAATTTGTTAGTACAAATTATACAAGGAAGGGAAAGGCCCAAAAGTATGTTTCAGACTAAGGAAATGCTGCACAGTTCTAGCTGCCCAGTCTTTCGCTCCACTTCCCGGGGCTTGCTTCACCATTGGTCAAGAGAAGGAAAACATGATGTCGGCTGATCAAGCAGTCAGAGCTTTGTAATATTTCCTGAGCCCATGGCACCCAGATGTGTTTGGACTTTCCCCTCCTCTGATGCCTGCTTTTTACAGGAGATTGGTGTAAATCCAGCAGCAGAACTCAGAGTCATTCCCTCTTTCATTTCTTGTCAAATTTCTGACAGTGGTAAAGTGACCATCCCTTGGGGAAAAAAGCTCAGCAGGGACCGGTTGTTTAATTAGCCACCTTTCCTCAAAGGTGTAGGGGGTAGCAACATTTTCAGATTTCCAGAAGAAGGAAACTTAAACTGTACTATATATTGATTCTAAGAGATATGTTCATTTTTAGAAGAAACAGTTATATTCACAACAATTCTATACAACAAGCTTGGAAGATACAAGTGTATTCACAACCATTTTTATTCAATATACTAAGTCCACCATCCATTAACTCCCTTAACTAGCAACACAATCCTCTGAATGCAATAGGACTTTCTTCTTAGTAGACACACGTAAGATTGAACTGTAACTGTCATGCATCTGTTTGCTAGATTTCCTTGACTAGAAACATATTAGAACTTAATTAACAGATGGATTGATCCACACACTCCATTTGTTTCCTTTCGTTGTCTCTCTTTATATAACCTGACTTGTTTTTCTGTTCAGCCCTCTGTATAAACAGGCCTGTAAAACCGTTGTCCGGTCAAAAGACATGTAACTTCATTCAGTAAGTTTCATCATGGTATAACTCTATGATTCATCACACTAGTATTTTATTTTAAAATGTAAGTTATTTAACATCTTTATTTTTTAAAACACACATAAGCCCTGAAATATTTTAAATATAAAATCTGGGATAAAGATTGTGGTCCTAAACTATGGACCTTTTCAATTTAAATAAAAAAATGCTACGTAATTCCTGCAATAGCACTTACCGAATTCATTCCACTAAAGAGGTCTCCTGAGCCTACATGAGCTGTGTGAACAAAGTTTGTTGGCTCACCAATCATACTCCGATCAATCCGTCGCCGTCTTTTCTGAAAGGTGGAGAAACAGAAAGGTTAGTTTAACTAAAAAAGAATGAAGTTTTAATATGATACACGAGCCAGGTATTAAGTGCAACAAACTAAAAGTTACTCTTAACAGACAACTGGAGCTTCATTACATTTTCATTTCAGAGCTCATCTTTATGCTAACTTTTTCTTTCTTCCTTTAAAAAAAGTTTGCATTAACTGAGTGTTATCAATATCTATATATTTAAAAGGCCCAAGTCAGTGAGAAGTAGTCTCATTTTTCAGTCTTGTTTAGGCTGTCGGCATAGTAGAACTTCTCAAGCCATTATCCATCAGATGTTTTCCATTTCAACTCCCAAAGCCTTAAGTCTGCATGGATGATGATCAGTGATTCTGGGAATTGCTGCCTAAAGTATCTGGCTAAGTAGAATTTCCTGCTTGCTGGTCCCTCCTCCTTTGTCTACAATTCCTATCCTTTTCCCAAAGGGCTAAGTGAACAATTTGGGATTTTTAAAAAATAACAATAACTAGAAAAGGGGTGCATGGGTGGGGAGCAAGATCAATTTGTTTTCTCTATATTGTTAATAATTCCTTGTGATAATATTATAATTAAAAGTAATTATCACTTTATACCTCTATTTGATGTGCTTGGTCATTTTGTCTCTAACCTATTGAACAAGTCTAGCACATTAAGCCTTAAGAGCTATATCCAATTGCCAGTCTTGAATAGAATGGACCCACTGAACCATTGAAGCTTATGTAATGGTTGTCTTGCCAAATTTCTGTTGATTCAATGAGTCTTATTCTAGCTAGGACTCTAGTAATTGAATTTAGGCTTAGTTCTTATAGAATAGCTGCTATATTTTTCCTAAAACTGAATCCAAGCAACAAGTAGAAAATGTAAAACTCTTGAGAACGCAGACAGAAGCTAGCTACCCTTTCGATTTGAAACACAGAAAGGAACCAGGCAATGGATATTTTTTCCAGTACAAGGTTCTCTCTCAAAAGTTAGATTCAGCAAAATGAAAGTCCAATAGTAATTCAACATCCAATACCAACTGTTCTCTTAACTGTCATTGAGTTAGTCACAAAGAATCCACATATCTTCTGAATAATGCAGCCATTTGCATGGGGTTTTAAAGAAGAGAGACACAATTGCCCCCTAAAGATTTCCTGACCCTTCTATAAACATTTCCTCTATCACATGGTTTTACAAGACCAGCATCTTTTTACCCATATTATGTGATGAGATGGTAAGACCACCTAGAGATTTGGGTGGGAGTTTACGCATCGCATCAGCAGGATTTATGCTGTCCAAACACTGCCCCAGTTGAGTCACTGCAAATCAAAGCCACAGCTGAGAATACATCATGGGCCATAGCCCATAAACACAAGATATGTTTGGAATGAACTCAGGCCCACAACAGACATGCCCTTTTCACAGACTCCCCACTTTTTCTGGACAACTAACACACTGGGTTTGCTTGAACTCTGTTACACAAATGTTAAGCATGGGAAAGCATGCCAGAACTAGAGAGAGAAAAATGCTGGCACTATAATCATAAACACATGTATTTGGATAAGGGCCCCATTGATTTCAAAGGAATTTATTTTCGGGGACTTAAGGTTATAGCCAAATCCTATCACCCAATTTAGCTAGTGGAAGGTTCCCAAAAGAGTGATATTAGCTGGAGGAGAGCAAAAAGAGAATGATAATTACAAAAATACTACAAATGCATAATGCAGAACCACTGAGGCTAATGTACTGAAAATACTTGGCAAAGATAAGAGCAAGAAGACAGCTGGCAGAGTTCTCCTGACATATTGTCTTCCTGTCCTCGGAAGTGTGAAGGAATCAGCTTGGATGTATTTAAAAGACATCCAGAGTATGAGGTGGAGGAGCACACACACAAAACCTTACTAGTGCAACAGCTAACTTTATGAACGAACTGGAAAGTCACAAGTCTTTTCTCTGTGACATCAAAAGATACTGGACCACTAATATGAATAAATCATATTAGAAAGGAAGTTTCTATATACATTTGCCTCTCTGTGTGTATGTGCCTTTGAATCACCTACCAACTTAAAACTTATCAAAAACATGAAGGACCTACAACTGATAAGAGGCATTCACAGCTGATTCACAAGAGGAGTAACAGAAGGGAGGTAATGTGGGTATGTCCACTAGTCCGATTTCCAGTATCCCCCAACCATTCAGCTCACAACCTACCCAAGACACTTCTAGGAAGACTAGAAGTGGGCTGGAGACTGTATTTCCATGAACAGAAGTAGAAACTTCCATTCAAGTAGACACCTTCAGTGCTGCCATTTCCAAAGTTTGTTTTTGCCTAACTTCGGGGAGGCATTATGGGCATGAAACCAGCTACTGTCAGCCCATTTATATGTGAATGTATCTAGGTTGAACCCTATTACTTCTCATGCACGCATTATACTAGTCACAGATTACAAAAACAACAAAATAAAACATGTACCAAGAATATTCCTGGCATATAATTCTGAAATGTTGAGCATAAAGTAAGAATGTGGGATTATATGAATTTATAATAGAGGTATATCCACACATCCAGTACTTCATTTGGATCTCCAACATTAGCTAAATAGAGAGGCAATTTTTAATCCGCCCCTTAGAATATGGAGGTCCTCTGAGGGGCAACAACTCCAACCAGCCAGAGTATCATCCATAGGACCTTTTCATCAGTCGCTCCAAGACTGTGGAATGGCCTGCCATAAGAGATTGTACAGCTAAATGAACTGTCAGAATTTAAGACACAAATGAAGACCCATGACTTCCAACAGGCCTACCCAGTCAACTTTGAATCGTGAGTTTTATATTTGCATTCTATTGCTGCTGCATTTTGATATTTGTACCATGAGTTTTGGTGGACATATTTTATAGTGATGTGTTTTAATATATATATATATATTTGTATGTATTTTATGTTGATGTGTTTTGACTGTGTTATACCCTGCCTCGAGCCATTAGGAGGGGCAGGTAACAAATAAATAATAATAATAATAATAATAATAATAATAATAATAATAATAATAACAGTTGTTATTTTGCAAATACAACTATATCTATAATGCTGTAACTGACTTCATTCTGATTGACCTTTCTTCTCCCTAAGACCTATGATCTTGCTGCCATATGCTATGCCGGGTGATGGATTCTGGAAATTGTATTTATTTATTGCATTTATATACCGCTTTTCTCATCCCTAGGGAAATTCAAAGCGGTTCGCAACGTAACCCATGGAAAATTCAATGCCTTACATGTATAAAACATCACATATCAAATTACCCACATATAACAATAGATTAAAACCATTAAAAATATAAAACTATAAACAGTCACAATGCAACATAAAACATTTAAATCTTTCAAAGATCCCGAAATATATTTCCATATTTCTATACTGTCATTCACCGAATGCCTTCTTGAACAACCAGATCTTAAGTTGTTTCCTAAATGCTAGGAGGGAGGGGGCTGATTTAATTGTAGTCAAAAGTAATTTTGTAAGATGGATTAATTCAGACAATTATTTTGGTACAAAATAGGAAAAGAAGCAAGTTTTTTTTTGAAAAAAACAACCTGTTAAAACATGTTTCTGATAGTTCTAGAATTTCTTTACACATTAAAGAGATTAACTTTTGGGACTGGTTACTATGACAACGGAGGCACCAGCTGAAATTGTTCCTGTTTTGAAGAGTCTAAGCACAAACGTCACACCCACACAAAGTTCTTACTAGACGACATATAGGTCCTTGTATCTGGGGCTTTTTTTTTTCATGTGTGAATCTGCAGCCTTTTCCACTCCCACACTTTCTCATTTCTCTTTTAGGGCTAACTTCATACAAGACTAATTACCCTTGCAGACCTTTCATCCCTGCAGGAAGCTGTAGGTGTAACACATTCTGTTTTATCCACAAAAAGAAAACATGTAGAAAAGTCAAATATATGGAGCGGGTCTCTGTGGTCCTGCACTGCTAATTTCTATTTGAAAAAATGTCAGGAAAACCATCACCAGAACTTATGCTTACACCTATAAAGAAAATACTTTTTATAGTCCTTTTCATACCACTGTGGCAAACATGGACAAATACTACAATATCATTCCAATGCTACATCTCCTCAGTCCTTTGAAAACCTACTTTAAAAAATCGTCACAGGGAATTCAGATACTCCCCTCTCCCAAATATTCAAAATGACTACTTGTTGCAAAGGTAAGTATGTAGACGGGTGTCTAATTTTCAAAGGATTATGACCAGGGTCTGGATTATTTTTCCAATTAGCAGTAGTGAAGCTTTCACATAACCTCAACATGAACTTGTCTATGTACATCTGCCTCTACTTGTCTGGCTTATTTTTGCACATCCTCTCTGTACTTCTCAGTTGTTTCTACAAAGGCGCAGACTACCCCAACATTATTACTGTGCCATATCCCTCACTTGCTGCTAGAAAACATATGCATCTCAATGTTACAAACATTTTAAAAAAACATTCCAGTGATGCAGTAGTAGTCAAACATGAACAGATGTAATTAAGCAAAATATAACTTCTTCTATTACAAAAAGATTGGATAACAAAAAATAAGATTTTTTTAACATGTAAATCTCTTATCTGATCTCATTAGAGATTTTCCTTTCATGCATGGGTGCTATACAAGTATCAAAATTAGAAAGTAAAGGTAAACGTTGTCCCCTGGCATTAAGTTCAGTCATGTCTGACTCTGGGGTGTGGTGCTGATCTCTATTTCTAAGCCGAAGAGCCGGCGTTATCCATAGACAGCTCCAAGGTCATGTGGCCAGCATGACTGCATGGAGCGCCATACCTTCCCGCTGGAGCAGTACCTATTGATCTACTCACATTTGCATGTTTTCGAACTGCTAGGTTGGCAGAAGCTAGGGCTGACAGCGGAAGCTCATGCCGTTCCCCAGAATCGAACTTGCGACCTTTCAGTCAACAAGCTCAGCAGCTCAGCGCTTTAACCCACTGTGCCACT